ACCATCAAACTATCCCAGTGGGCATTTAGGACTTTCCCAATGGTTGTCTACATTGAAAGTGAAAAAGAAAGAAATGTGAGGGCTCACATGTACCTTAGTGAAAAGAAACTTGATATACCTTGAAAACCTAAAAGAATAAAATTAAGTTGAATTTAAACTATTTGCATGGATATGAACATTTAGTATACTGGATAAATACAAAAAACACATAAAGTCAGCAGATTTTCTGTTGCAAAAGAAAATATGGTGGGAAAATTTTCCATTTATAGTAGAAATAAAAAAGTAGACACATGCATGCATATTCACAGTAACTAGAAATAAACCTAACAAAAATATGCAAGACCAATGGGAAGAAAACTATAAAACTCTGTTGATGAATGTAAATGAAAAAATTAATAAATGGAGAGACAGATCAGGTTTTTGGATGGAAAAACTAAATTCTTTAAAGACGACAATCCCTCTTTAACTTATGAATGAGTTTAACATAACCTCAGTGGGATTTTTTTTTTAATTTAACAAAATTATTCTAGATTTCATCTTGAAGAACCAACAGGTAAGAAGAGCAAATAATTTTTTAATATATTCAAATATTATCATACTACAGAGCTAGTATTACAAGAATAAACCAATTGATCCAAATAGATAACTATTATATGTAAGAATTTAACATATGATAAACTAGGTTAATAAATCAATCAGGAATGGAAGTTCTATTTATAAATCATTAGCTATTTTGAAACAAAATCAATTAGATCCTTTCTCCACATGAAAATAAAACTCCAAATGGAGTTAAAGAGTTAAACATAAACTAACCAAATCATAAATTTAAAGCAAAAATTGAAGTGAAGTTATAGGACATCTCTGCAAGTCAAAGAACTTTCTACGTTGGGAAGCAAAGGGAGAAATCAAACACAAGGAAAATGAATGATGGGCTTTATTAAAAATGTTAATTTTTTGTGTGTCAAAGAAAAGTGATGGCGAACACCAAACTGAGAAAAGATACATCAGATCAAGGATTAGTATATAAAAACTCATATTGTATTCAGAAAAATAGTAAGATCCAAATGGTTAAATGGGCAAAGTACACACCAAAGAGTCAATTCATGAGCAAGGAAATACAACAGTTTACCAACCATATAGATACTTGATCACTAGTTAAAGAAATACGAAATAAAGAATAAGACATCAAAATTCAAGAATTTTTTTAACAAGAATACTCATTTCTAGGGAGCATGCAGTGAGACAGACACTTTCATGCAGTACTGGTAAGCATATATATAAATTGGAATAACCACTTGGGAAAAAATATTTGGTGATCATGTATACATCAAAAATCTTAAACTATTCACGTTTTCTGATCTAAAAATAACACATCTTAAAATTTGTTATAAGGAAGTAAGCATAAATACGAGGAAACTTTTAGGGATTGAAATATGAATCATGACAAACTTCATGACAGCAAAAAAAAGAATGGAATGATTCATATGTCTAAAAATAGATGACTGGTTAAGGAAAATATAGTTGGATTGGTTGGACTACCATGGAACTATTAAAAATAATGCTTTAAAATCACTTGTAAGAACATTATATACAAACATGCCTTTTTCAAGTTAAGTGGAAAATGCAGCAGAATACAGTAGTAGAAGAGCACATGTGTTTACAAAGCAATCTGTTTGATTAAAATATAGAAGAAAAACCACTTAATTTTCAACAATAAATGTCCTTAAGTTATAAAACTATAGATGATTTTCTCTCATTCCTATTATCTACATCTTAAATTTTTTCTATAATATGAATAGGTGTTTAGGAATTATTTTTAATATACTTATTATGCCAAAATCTGGATTTATTTATTGAAAACAATTGGAAGAAAAACTTCTTGCTTTAAATGAAGATGAGCAATCCTATCAATGGAAGATCTCTTTAATACTTTTTGACATTAAGTTTTCCAAAACGACCAGAGGAAAAGGCCACGATCAGGGGTTCAGAACTGGGGAGAGGAGCAAATCTAGTGAAAAAGTATAGTATAAAGTATAGCTCAGCTTCCCTGATGGCTGCGACAGTAAAGAATCTGCCTGTAGTGCAGAAGACCCGGGTTCGATCCCTGGGTCAGGAAGATCCCCTGGAGAAGGGAATGGCTACCCACTCCAGTATTCTTGCCTGGAAAATTCCATGGACAGAGGAACCTGGCAGGCTACAGAGGGTGGCCACAAAGAGTTGGACACAACTGAGCAACTAAGCCACCTTACCACAGCTCGAAAGGCACATGCGATGTGTTATTTCTGCAATAAAAATACAGAAAGTAAAGCTCAACCAAACCTTCTTGGACAATGAAAATAAACAAAAGACAGAATGAGAAACTATTTTGAGTGAACACTACAGTCAATGCATGTTTGTTAGCTATACTTTGTTGTTCATTTATATATGACACCATTGACATTGTTATTTCTACTGTATAACTATATGTGTTTTGGTTTAAAATGAGTACATGGTTTATTTCAAAATAAAATTTGACTTTGTTACTACAGTGTAGTACTAAAAAAGAGGAAGTGAAATGTTTATGCTTATCAGAAGGGATCCTTGGCTCAAAAAAAAAAGCTGAGAAACTGTCATAAAAGGAGATGTACCATTGTGTCTTCCCTCTGCAGCAGTCTGGCCATCACCCTCTAGGACTTGGAAGCCCAGTGTGCCCACTGAAAGATATGTTAGGGGGACTCCCAATTTGCTGATTATTTTCTGCTACTTCATAAAAAGGTTTTCACAGAGAATTTAGTCATAAAAACTGCATTTAGGCAAGATTCACTTTGGGCAAAAAACTTAATCTGAGAATTTCCCATCTGCCTAAATTAATTCTTTACATGGTCCTGGCCTATATGAGTAATAGGCTAAGATTATCCTTCTCTTTTGCATCTTTTGCCAACTATAATCTTCTGCAGAAGATAGAGCACACATTACTATTCTTGTTTTACAAATACGGAAACCAAGACCTACAGAAGTTGAGTGACGTCCCAGAGGCCACAGCCTGGCCTCCTGATATCAGCCCAAAAGCCTACTGCAATAAAGAATTTGCCCTGACAGTTCAATCATTAATTCAAAAACATTTATTGAGCACCTATTGCATGCCTCATGATACCTGTTGCACGCCAGGCTGTGTTCCTGGTGTGGGAGATGGTGTCTCTGTCCCCAAAGAGATTACATTCTAGCAAGAGAGCCCAGCAAGACCTTTCAGGCAGCTGAAAGGTCCCAGAAGAAAAATAAAGTGACAGATTATAACTGGGACAGGGAGAAGGTACTTATGTTAGAGGCTAGTCAAGGAAGAGGGAAAAGGGACAGTTAAGTGTGAAGATCCTAAGCAAGGAGCAGCTTGGCAAGCTCGAGAAACAACAAAGAGGCCAGTGCGTCTGAAGTCTTAGGAACATCCTGCCACGCACTGTCCCCAGCTCTTCCTTCCCTTCCCAGGCTCTTTGTACCTTAATTTTTACCTCTAGGTTGAGGGTCCCATTACCTCCTTTGGTGAGCTTTGCTAAAGAAGCTCCTTTCACCAGTTCACTCACTCCTCCACCTTCTATTGATAAGAAAAGAGCCTAGGAATACGAGCTGGCTTTCATTGACCTACCCCAGTTTTCACTTTGGAAAAACAATAATGTAAGGAAAACCTAAAATCTGAGCCCAAGAGATTCATTAGCTTGCACATATTTCCCTTGAAGCTTTTATAACAAGCGTATTTAGCATGGCCTGAGAGTTGCCACAAATATGCCTTGCCCATTGAAAAAATCACAATAAACAATGAAAATCCTCTAACACCAGGCTCAACACAATCTCTCATCAATGCCCCAGAAGGAACTTCAAAATCTTGCCATGTGTCATCAGACACCAAAATTACAACCAAGCATCTTCCCTCATTTTGTTTCTGTCTAGAAGTTACTGTATAGGGCTGCTGTTTTCATGAGTGTTTTTACCCTGCTAACAAAGAGTGACTGAGCTAGGGACTTCCTTAGAAATGCCCCGTGAGTACTTAAAGATATTGACTGAAATATATATATACATTATATATATATAATGTATATAATAAAAAGTACTGAAAGGGAGTGAAAAAATAATAATAACAACAACAGCTTACTTTTACTGAACACTTAGTATGCATTAGGTCCAGTGCTAAATTTTCTACGTGCATTACAGCATTTAATGTTCAGTCCTATGAGGTAGGTAGTAATATTCTATACATTTTTTGGACAAGAAAACTAAAGGACTGCGAGGTTAACTTGCCAAAGATTAGCACATCAGACTAGCACAAGATTAGGTCTCAGCTCTGCCTGATCCTGGAGCCCTGGAGCAAAGACGAAGGTGCATCTGATTCAAAATGGGGCTTTAGACCAAGAGATGCTTAGGTAAAGGGCAAAGCTGAATCATACCAGGGTGTTTTCCCTCCATGCCCTTTACAACTATTGTGTCTCCTAGCGTTTATCACGGAAAGGCCCTATTTCTGAAACCCAACCCCACCCCCCTCCAACTCCTGTAAAGAAAGCTAATTAAGCAAATCCAGAGAGGCGGTTTTATTCAGAAACGTCCCTCTCTCCCGCATCCTGACCTAACTGGTACTGCTGTCTTAAAGGATTCCGTTTCTTAGCCTTCTTGCTCTCCTTGAATTTGAAATCTTCCTGTGGGAAGATACCTGCAAAGCCATCGCCAGAGGGCTGGAGAGAGAGGCCTCTCCTCTGAGGAGCTGGCGGCCCTAAATCTGGCCATTGCCTCATCCCAGGCCTCCACTTTGCTGGCCTCTACCAGAGGTCCAACCTGAAGCCAGGAGCCTGGGTCCTTTTGGCAGCAAAGGTAAATTCTAGGCTCCGTTCCCTCCACTGCAAAGAGCATTCCTACAGCCGTCCCCAGAGGCGCTGGAGAGGACCCTCTGAAGAGCAGGAAGCCCAGGCGAGACACCCCCAGCGCGGGACGTGAGGCACGCGGCGGGCAGCGGGGGCTCCAGGTCCCCGCCATGTACTCACAGCACACACAGACAGTACACGCCCGGGACACTCTCGCTGTCCCTCAGCAGATAGCTGCCGTCCAGGCCGGTGGCGAGAAGGAGCTTCTCCCCCGTCTCCCGGCTGATCTTGCCGTGATACACAGCCACCGCGTCCATGGCCGGGGCACCGGAGCAGAGAAAGGCCGCTGTTGCTGCTGCTGCCGCCGCAATCAGACACGGCTCAGCCACCTGCCTCCCTGTTCAGCCAGATGTTCAGAAAAGAGAAAGGAGCGCCCCAACAACAGGATGTTGTCTACCTGCCTCACAGCCTCCTTCTCCCACTTCAGTGAAAACCAGCTCAGCAGTTTAGCAGCTCGGCTACTGCCCCAGGGTTCGATTCCCCCCTCCCCTCTCTGCTCCGCCCCCCGCCACGCAGGGTTGGGGTGGAAGGATGGACAGAGAGGGGAGGACTCCCTGTCCTTCCAAGGACATTGGAAGAAGGTCCTTGCAGGATGCGGCCTGTGCTCCCAATGCACACAGACACGAATGCCTGGTAAATGTTTCTGTCCCTGCAGCCTTCCCAGGAAGGCCACCCTGACTTAGCTCAAAGAGTCCCCAAAGGGGTTAATGAGACAGGCAAGCTGTGTTGATCTTCATGTGGGACAGAAACATACTGACAGAGAATGAAAGGCCCAAAAGCTCTGAGACCAAAACACAAAAGTCAGTACTGTCAGTGGGTGATCCCCACAGGGCACAGGCAGGAGGCTCCTAGGAAATCAGAGGCGGAAGTGAACAGTGGACTTGGGACCCACTGCCTCCCCTCCCCAAGCCCCCCCGCCCCCGCCTCTCCCCGACTCCTCCTCGTCATCTCCAGCAATCTTGATCCTGAACAAATCAAGCATTTCCAGCCTTCTTGTCCAAGATCCCAAAGTGCTGGTTGAGGTACAAAAATCAGTCTGGGTCCAAAGATGTTCCAGATGTATCTATTTGATAGGCCTCATGAGAGAATAAATCATTTCATTGGTGCTTTGCCTTTATGTGGACTTGTCTGTGCCTTTTGACCTGCAGGGCCTACCTTTCAGCATTTGGGACATCAAACTTGTTTTAAGTCACATTGTGAGTGTTGATAATTGTGTTGTATCTTTTATCGTTTGTAGTTTATAGAGAATATGGTTTTTCTTCAATTGATGCTAAGCTATCAAATTTTTTAGAACCTTTCAACCTTTATTTCCTTCTCTCTTGTATTTCAGGATGTGCTGTTAAGCAATATTTCCCCCAGACTTCCTCATTTTTCACTAGAACAAGAACTTGTTTAATGTTTGAAGCTGAACACTCTTCTATGTTTTTTCTTTTGAGTGTGTAAAATACTTTTTCTTTTTAGATTGTTTTTGATGTAGACCATTTTTAGTCTTTATGGAGTTTTTTATAATATTGCTTCTGTTTTATGCTTTGGTTTTTTGGCTGCAAGGCATCTGGGATCTTAGCTCCCCATGCATGTGTGCTAAGTTGCTTCAGTTGTGTCCAATTCTTTGCAACCCCGTGGACTGTAGCCCACCAGGCTCCTCTGTCCATGGGATTCTCCAGGCAAGAGCACTGGAGGGGGTTGCCATGCCCTCCTCCAGGGGATCTTCATCAAACCCACACCCCCTACATCGGAAGGTGAACTCTTAAAACACTGGACCACCAGGGAAGTCCCTGTAAAATACTTTTTAAAACTGAAATTAAAGTAGCTGAAATTATGTTGTCTGTTGTGTCTCTTCAACAATGTCACACCTAGTTCCTTGAGAGCCTGGCCCATCTGGGACCCCAATAGGGAGAACAATTTTTAAATCCTCACTAGTCCTACCGATGGATCAGATGTTGCAGAGCTGCCTTACGCCAAAAGCCAGATAATTGCCATCCACTAGGGTTGAAAACAACCCTCTACCATTTAAATGGCAGCTCATAATAACTCTCCTTGATTGATGCATGCTCAACCTTAGAATCTATCAACTTTGGTAGATAAACTGTAAATATAAGCCTCCTACATTCACTTGCCACACCAAGAATAAAAAAAATAAAATAAAACAGCAGACTGGTGGATGGCTCTGGGGAACCGAACCACGATTGTCTCATTATCTTCCTACTTCACTTGCTATGGCTGACTCCATCTGTCACCCTTTTTCATGCTTTGGGTCAGGGAAGAAATTGATATGATAAGTGAACACATACACCGGTGTTAAGGATTTGAGAAGTTAGTCCGCCCTGAACTCTTTATATTTTGAGTGGACAAATCCATCACAATGGTGGAATTTCAAAGATGAAAGCAGAAGATGGGGAAGGGATCCCCTCATTCACTCCTTATGGACAGCAGCCCACCTACGAGGTGAACTGTGAGAACATGCAGTGTCACAGAGGAAAAACAAAACCTAAGCTTTTTTGTCTCTGAACAACCCTGAACAAATCATCTGCAAATTTAGGAATGTTGCAACCTCGAGCTGACAGCAAAAGTGTAGCACGCATTCTTTTCATTCTCTGTTTTGTCCTGTGTTGCTAAAATAGTACACCTGTCAAAGCAGCCAGGTACGATGGGGTTCAGCACAACTAAAACTGTATTAAAAAGGAACAGATAAATTATAAGGTAATAGTACAACTCTCACATCCAGTCCTTCATTGTCATCTTACAAGCAAGCTGACAGCCGAGCCAGCCCACTACTGCAGTGCTGATGAAAAATACTGACATCTTCACTCTAGTGCTACATGGGTACTAAACCTGATTTTAGCAAATTCAAAATTTCACACTGAGCTTGAAGTGTAAAGAAAGAGGAATTGTAATGGCTCTCTTCTCTCTCACCAGACCCACAAGAGAGGAAAGGGTGAAAAATACAAGGGGGAAGCAAGAGAACTTGCAGGGCGCCAATAGAGAAAGACGAAGGAAGACTGGGCCCTCTAATACAAATATAATCCCCTTAGAAGCAGAATTATCTGATTGTTCATTGTCTGTCTCCTGCACTAGAACATAGGGTCCATGATGGCAGGATTCTGTGTGCCTTGGTCACCAGTGTATCTTCAGTATCTGGAACATATTAGTTGCCAAATATATTTGTTGAGAGAGTGAAATTAGTGCTCTCAAGAAAATTAGAGGGAAAAATACACACACACAAATTTGATCCTACATGCCTCTGGTCCACCTTTTTTTTTTTTTTTGGCCCACAGCAATTATGAGAGTCTGATTACACTCCATATTTTGCTACTAAATCATTTCCTCTCTCTGAGCCTCATTTTCTCCATCTGTTAAATGGTGTTGAACCAGATGACCCGTAAGGCTACTTCCAAGTTTAACATTCTGGGCTTTAAACAAAAGCCAAGCATTCTTTAGAGAGAGCCAGAGGAGGGATGGACTGAACTCATTTAAGTGCAAGCAGCAAGAGTTGTTTCCTCAGGTCTCACCCAGCAGAGAAAACATTTTCATTCTTGTTTTTCAATAAACTAAGAAATAAAAACCATGAGGAAAAGGAGGAGAACTTCACAGTTTAAGCAAACGACAGCCTTTTAGAATATAAATGTCTTTTAAATCAAATATAAAAGCATTGACAAACTGTCAGCCAAGGTCAAAAGTATCTTCTTATCTAAACGTGCCACCTCCTGAGGTCTCTGAGAGGTGACAGTATATTGTGTGTGGATGCCCTGTCTGAGGTGTTAATTGTCTTCATTTCAAATGCCCTAGGCTATTCTCAAACCCAGTTAGATTAAAAGGATGATGGCAAGGGTGGTTAGTTTTATAGAGTGGATCTGACATTTCAAAATCTTTTTCTCTAACCTTTCAAAACTAACTTTGTTCTTCAACTAGCTCATCTATAGGTGTGAATTCTCCTGTGACAGTGTTATAATATTGTCACCTGTGGTGAGTTTACACATTCTCTCTTACTGAAATTCACTTCCTTTACAAAAATGAGACAAGAAAAAAATAAAAGTGTTTTTTAAAAAAGGGGGCACCTTCTTATGATAATATGTTGGTTTATCTATGGGGTTAATTTTCCTAATACCCTTTTGTAAGTCAAGATTCAGAAACAGTGTTGTGTGTGCTCATTTAAGCCTCTAAAAAATGTTTATTCTTTCAAGCAACATTTATGAGCATCTACTGTATGACAGGGGCTTCCCAGGTCATACTGTATGATGGGGGTTTCCCAGTAGTAAAGAATCCACCTGCCAAGGCAGGAGACACAGGAGATTCGAGTTCGATCCCTGGGTTGGGAAGATCCCCTGGAGAAGGAAACAGCAACCCGCTCCAATATTCTTGCCTAGAGAATTCCATGGACAGAGGAACCTGGCGGGCTACAGTCCATGGGGTCGCAAAGAGTCAGACACAACTGGGCAACTGAGCATGAGCACTGTATGACGGTCACTGTGGTAGTTACTTAGGTCAGAGAGAGGAAAAGCATAAACCTGAACTCACATAACTCCTAGTCCAGTGAAGACAGACAAGTAAACAATTAAAATTCACTCATTAAGAGCTGTCATAGAGGGAGGGATGGGGCTCTAGGGGCACACTAGTGGGACATCTAACTCGTTTTATATTCTAAATCTGCACAACCTGCTTGAGACAGCCAAGTCTTTATCTTTCTGTCTGCTCCATGTAGTTCCTTTTACTTGTCCAAAGCTTACCTCCTTCATGACTCAGAAGGTACTCCCTAATTCTAGCTGAAACTCTGCCTGCTTCTGAGGTTTTAAATATTTGTTAACCAAATACTACATTCCAGGTACTCCTGCTAAGCACTTTGCTTGAATTATCTCATTTATTTATATCAACAACCCTCCGAAGCAAATATTATTATGATCCTTATTTTACCAATGAGGAAGCCAAAACTCAGAGACCTGGGTAGCCTGCTTAAGGTTTCACAACTGGTCAGTGTCAGGCCCTGGATTTGAACCCAGGTTGCTGACTTCAGAGCCTGTGCATCTCCCCATATCCTCCTCTGCCTCCCAATATTAACTCTGAGGTCACTGCACCAGATTGGTCAGGCTTCAGTTTCCTATCTAGCAACTGTAATTTTGACTTCTAGAATATTCTTCTCACACTTCTCAACTGTTAAATGTTCCCATGCCCTGACTTGTAGCATGTCTATGTCTATCTATATATGTCTTATGAGGTCAGATACACTGTTCTATCCTGAGCCTTGTTAGGCAGTAGGCCATGG